ATCAGTATTAGTTTGCTGAGTTTAATGTTGTGATGCGTGGAGCGAGGTCTTCTGATTTTTCGATTCAATTTGGTGATTGCCAATCGTATTGCATACCAAATAAAGCGAAATATTACTCGTATTGGTTTTCCGAAAGTGAGTGGTACGTATAGCAGTACGTAGCAGCCGGTAATAATGCAATAAATGGCAATTGCTGATGCCAGTATAGCACCTGTTGGCCAACATTCGGAAAATTAACTCCGCGTATAGTACACAGTTGAGGTGTTCGCAGAATGGTGATGGTGGGCATGTTGTTTCAATAATATCGATTGATTGATTATCAGCGAGTTTCCATTGAATTTTGTGCTCGTGAAGAATTATATGCGGTGGAAGACTGACTATCTCTTTGGATTCTGGTGTTTCCAACGTTTTGCAGTTACCGTCTGCACATACCTGGTAAGGGGTGTTGCCAGGTGAAATGAGTTGTATCCCTCCTTTGATGCACTTTATATGGCGGATGTTGGTATGCCGATTCGAATTTGCTGCTGAGCATTATCCCAGAAGAGTTAATTGGGATAGAATGTTAAGGATCAGTGAAATATTTTGAATTGTTGCTAACGAGGGATTGAGAAGTTTGTTATAATCGATTCGTTGCTGGCGTCGTAAGTTATATGTACCTGTCCGCTTTCTGGGACTTGCTTCTGTGACTGCTTTTGTGTTGTTTCCTTCCATTGGTAATTCGTGTTGTCTAGTTGGTTGTGGAGTAATTGTCTCGAGTTGCCGGTCGCTTTGTGTTTGCTGTAATGAAGGTTCATCTAATTCCAATGGAGTTACAAGAGGCCGGCGAATCAGACGGTGTGGTGGTAGCAGAATAACGGCTTCCCGTGCGATATCTTGTGAATTCTTGACGAGCTCCTTAATTCTGCCCATCTTCCACGAATATCGAGGTTGCGCAGGGTCGTTGATTAATACTAGATTGTCCTCTTTAGGCGTATATTTCGAGCTTCTTTGTGTGGAAGTACTCTGATGCTTTTCCTGCAGTGATGTTAGGTAGTGAGATTTCCAAATTGTCCAAAATTTTTCCGTTAATCTGCAGGATGAATTTAACGCCTTGATGACTTCTTCTTTTTTTCGTAGTACGACTTTTTCTTCTGATGGTAGATAGGAGGGGTCGCAAGTTTCGTTGGCAATGTCATCTAGTACCGCAAAAATTTCGAAGTCTTTTTGAAGGAAGTCGATAGATCGAAGCGTTTCTTCTCGTGCGGATTGCGATTCTACGTATAACAATGGCCTCGTATTGAGGAGTGATTCAATTTCTATTATTATTGCTGTTAGCTGCTCTGTTGAGAGTTTTGCGGTTCCAAAAGTTTTGTCGAAGGAGTGTTTTACTGATTTGATGAGTCTTTCGTAAAAGCCCCCTTGCCATGGGGTGAATGGAGTAATATATTTCCACTGTATTTCATGGTTCGCAATTGTACGTTTTACTTCTGGATCGTTTTGTATGGATTTGAGATTTTCATTGAGAATGGTTTTCCGCTAGTACAAATGTTGGAGCGTTGTCACTTGTAATTGACGCGGGCGTTCCTCGTCTGGCCAAGAATCGGCGTAGGAACATGAGGAATGAGGTAGTTGTGAGGTCGGAGACGATGTCAAGGTGTATTAGTCTCGTTAGCATACACGTTATTATTGCTCCATAATATTTACCTTCGGCAGAATCTGATTGAATAATTGTTATTGGACCAAAGTAGTCGAGACCAATGTGCTTGAAAGGTCGTGATTTGTGGACTCTCTGCTTAGGTAAGTCGCTTTTTTCTGGATATTTGTATGGTAGGTTGTTGAAGCGTTGACATGGCACGCATTTTCTGAGGATTCGTGTTACTTGAGCACGTAGTTTGGGAATCTAGAATTGTTCTCGTATGATTGTCATTGTGTGGCTAATGCCTGGGTGTCCTTTTTTGTGACAATCCTCTATGATTGCTTGTGCAAGCCATGTATTCTGAAATACAAGCAAAGGGTTTTTGGCTTCTTTGCTTAAATCGCTATTTCGTAGCCGTCCAAAGCATCGGAGCAAACCTTCCTTGTCTGGTTTGACGTTGAGATGCCTCATAGACTGGAGCATAGGCGTGGTTACTGTCGACAACTGATGCTGTCTGACTAGTGCTTTTCCAGCTATAGTAATCTCTTCGCCAGAGATGTTGGGATCCAGGTTGACCTCCGTGGTACTTAGAAGTGTGGAGAGTTTGATACGGTGTTGTCTACGAATGTTCACCTTGGCAACTGAGATTTGAATGAAGCGTATAATTACTGCTACGATTCTTTTAACATTTGTCAGGGACTGTTTTCCCAATGGGGTATATCGTTTCCGTTCTGTTTGTCTGAGTGGTTGTACCTTGCGAGAAACAGTTTCTGTTCTTCGTGAAGAAATTCCTGGGATATCGTGCCTAGTGGATTATTGTGAAGTTCTGGGCCCTTTTCCAAAGAGCCTTCGTTGTGTTTGAAAGTGTTGCAAAGGATTTCCCAATTGTGTGGAGATTCTTGGAGAAAAGGTGGTCCGACCCACTACAAGTGGTCGAGCGATTCTTTTTGGCTAAGACCACGGGTTGCACAGTCCGCTGCGTTATAACGTGATGGGACGTGACCGAAAAGTATGCGATAACCGTTCATTTGTATATGGTCGACGAGCCTCTCGATTTCCAGTAGTCTGTTGAATATTCTGAGTCCAACGTTCTTTGGTTGTTTGCGCTTTATCCAGCTAAGTACGATCTCCGAGTCCGAAAGGATGAAAATTTCTTGGATTTCTAAGGTTTTTCGGAGTTGAGTCAGTACGGCGTTGGTTAATCGCATAGCTATGGTTACCGCATCCAGCTCCATTTTTGGAACTGTTGCTGTAGATTTTAAGGACGGCAGTTTGCTTTTTGCCATGAGAAGATTGGTTGAATTTTTGGAGCGTAGATAAATGCAGGTGGCCAGAGCTTCAACACTGGCGTCAGCGAAGGTTACTAGAATGTATTTTGTATTTTTTTGTTCCAAGACAACCTGGTAGAGGCTTCGTGAAACCTTGCATTTCCGTGCATATGGCTATCCATTCGTTCTTGCGGGAATCTAGTAGGACATGGTCCCAATTATACTCGTCTTTCCATAGGCCGCGTAGGAATACCTTTGCTTTATGAAGTAAAGGTGTTAGAAAGCCCATGAGGTCGTATACCGATGCTAATGTGCTAGCCACCGTTCGCTTAGTGATACGTTGATTTGTTCTTGTCATGCATGTTATCAGCAGACAGTCGGAGTCGGTGTTCCATGGTATTCCCAGTACTTTCGGTAATTGGGTGTCCGCTTTATCATCGGAGGGTATTTTTGCCATTAGGTCAATATTATTGGAAGCGAATTCGCGTAAATTCATGTTGAGGTCATTGAATATTTGTTTTGTGCGTAGGTAGCTCTGAAATGCTTCTTCGGGGGTTACGACAAGGTTGTCCACGTATAAGTTGTCTTTAACTTGCGTTACTAATTCTGGTTCTTCTTTATATTGATCAAGATGAAAATGTATTGTTCCGGCCAAAAGAAATGGTAATGTATTTAATCCGAAAATTACTCTGGTGAATCGTAGGGTTTTAATGTTGTTCGGAAATGGTGGTAGACTGTGATCATGTAGCCAAAGACATCGTGTGGCATCGCGATCGTCCTCATGGAGTCGGTCTTGCAGAAAGGCCTTTTCGATGTCTGATGTAATCGTGATTCGTCCGATTCTAAAGCGTAGAAAGATTCCGAACAATTGTGAGAGGATCACTGGTCCTCTGTGTAAGACGTCGTTGAGTAATGGGCATCCCTTATAGTGTGCTTATGCGTCATAAACTATTCTGATCTTAGTGGTGTTTTTATGGGGAGTTAGGACTGCTTGGTGAGGAATGTAATGAACCCGGGAGCTTTGTGGCGGTTCCTGTTCGTTGATTTCCTCTAGGATGTGCAGGCGGAGTTGTTCTTCGAATATGCCATTGTACTTGTCGAGCAGATCTCTGTTGTTTTGTAGGGATTTCCAAACCCTTATGAGTCTATTGAGTGCAATTGCTCTATTATCAGGTAGTGATAGCTGTATGTCTTTCCAAGGTAGACGAACGTAGTATCCGTCTAACCTTTTTTCAATAGTTTTCTTGAAGGTTCGCCATACTTGTTGATCCGTTAGTGTTTTTTCCATTTTTGTGGAGTTCTTGAATTCTTCTGTTCCGGCAGATTCGAGGGTCCAAAATTGTTCCCATTTGACTGCTTCGTTCTCATCCGTCTCTGAATCTTCAGTAAGGCAAGCATGGACTTGTCATTCTAGTGTCCGATGCTGATTGCACTCCTTCATTTCCTCTTCATCGACTTGCACGTATAGTGCCCAGTATTGATCCCATTTGTCTAGTTCATCCTTGAAATCCTGTATGGGCAATGTGTTTCCTTTTTCGCTGTGTTGTACTTGTAATAACACGTTATCATTTTCTTTTTGTGGCGCAGGAGGATTTTTTAGTTGTCCTGTACATAAATGACCTAGACGCGTTGGGATAAGATGTAGTCCGGATGGTAGTTCAATGTGCGGTTCATCGTTTTTCATCAGGGTCCACAGTTGGTCGCATCCGAGTAGAATGGCAGGTTGGACCACGGGCCTTGTTTTACTTATCTCAATTTGGAGGTTGTTTTTTACTATGAAGTCTATGTCTTCTGGACAAATTGGCGGTGGTTTAAAAGGCTTCGTTATCGCGTTATGTGTGAACAAGAATAACGATATTTGATGGCCGTCCGCGTCCCATACCTGTAATGGGACCTTTCGTGAAACGCGTTCTTGCACATTGCATGAGCCGAATGTGTTTAGCCGCAGTTTAATTTCTTCTATCGTCGGTAGGCCTAGCTTTTGTGCAAGATTTTCGTCGATAAAGGATAACTCAGCTCCCGTGTCCAGTAAGACGGAAACTTTCTCTTATTGTTTTGTGGTTGGGTTCATTATAGTCAATCCCCCTGTGGGTAGGAAAGTTGACTGCAGTTTTGTGCTAGATTTCGTGAAACTTTTGTCTTTGGCTGGTGTCACTTGTCCGACGTGGTTTATGGTCGCCTTTACAATACATGCACAGGAGCCTTGTTGTCGGCGGCTTCCAGTGTTTGTCTTTGTTGTCGAAGCTAACAGTATCTCGAGGAGGTGTTGCGCTGGTCTGGCGACATACCTGTTCCTCGCTGGTTATAACCACTTCAAAATATTTTAGAAGCTGCTGCATGGTGAAGGCTTCGTCGGGAGCAGTGATCTTTTTGTGAAGAACTTTACGTTGGATCCCGACCGGAAATTTCGAAAGAACCTTTTGATACATGGCCTGATTGTCGACATTTTCACCTTTTTGCGCTAATTGGCCTATGGTGGCTTCTATGTCTTCGAATAGTCTGCGTCGCTCTTGTATGGACGATGAGTGAAGGGAGATTTTGTCCATCTTTCTGAGGAGCTGGCGAATAAGTTCTCCAGAATTACCGTACTTATTAGTAAGGAGTTCTATGGCTTTTGCGTAGTTTTGCCTAGTGAGTTGGAACTTCTTCATCGATTGTAGGAATTTTTGTAGCTCGGAAAGATTTTGTGAATGTACGTTTAAGTTGAAAAGCTCCCAAAAGTTATCCCAGTCTCATATGTCGCCATTGAATGTTGGGATTGGGATTGTGCGTAGCTCCAGATTTTTCATGACCGCGGTGACAGTGGATTCATCTTTGCCACTGTTCGTAGTGGAGGGTTTGTGGGATGTGTTGTGAAGCTCAGCGTGAGTCTTGAAGCCATGGATCCGAGCATGCAGGAGTACAAGATATTCGAAAGTATTGCCAATAGCTTCTTCGGCAGTACTCGAGTATTGTGCGAATTCTTCTTTAATATTCGGTAACGTTGGGTGTGTCTTTTCGAACATAGTAGCGAGTTTATCTAGTGCGTGTTGAATCTTTGTGGTCATGTTTTCTAACGCTGCAACTCCATCCTCTAACTGCTGTAGGTTTGTGTGAATGGCCGTGGGCGTTATGTCATCTTGCAGGTTTTGGACGCTGATTTCTTCTAACTGCGCGTCTTTGAATCGGATTAGAACTTTTTGCAATTGGTTAGTATACCGCGTGAGTATCCGTTTGTGACTTGCCAGTGATAGGTTGGACATGGTTGAAGAATTAACGTACTTGGTTGTAACTCCCTTGACTTGATGGATCCCTTCAAGCGGCCGATGCACCAAAATATGGTGGGACGGCTCAATTATATAGGAATACCAAGTAGTTAAGATGATTCGGTCAGAATTTGCTGCTCGCCTTTGTGTATGCCACGCGGGACTTCTTGTAAGTAGTAGTCACAATGCCGGAAACCNTGATTTCTTCTAACTGCGCGTCTTTGAATCGGATTAGAACTTTTTGCAATTGGTTAGTATACCGCGTGAGTATCCGTTTGTGACTTGCCAGTGATAGGTTGGACATGATTGAGGAATTAACGTACTTGGTTGTAACTTCCTTGAGCTGATGGATCCTTTCAAGCGGCCATTGCACCAGAAATTATTGGGACGGTTCGCTATATATATAGGAATACCAAGTAGTTAAGGCGATTCGGTCGTAATTTGCTGCTCGCCTTTGAGTACGCCACGCGGGACTTCTTGTTAGTAGCAGTCACAGTGCCGGATACCTCAAACTTGGGTAATTAAAAAAGTCGTAACAATACAACTGTACAATTAATGCAACAATGATACGGGTAATGAACAGGCGCAACCTCATCACTGGTGTTCAGGTTGCTTATGAGTAAAGAGATTGGCATAACAGTACAACTGTGTAATTAATGCAACAATGATACGATGTGTGATATTTGACGATATGTAAGCTGGGTGGATAAGAGCGGGATTAAAATGGTAACAAGTGATACACTTGAAGGAAATAAGGCAGACACTGGAGTTGGAGCGCCGAGGAATTAAGAGACCAGAAGCAGACCCGTCGAACGCGGCGAGCACTTCATGACCAGTCCTATGCTCTGATGTATTACATCTGTAGTGGGTGGAGCTTCGCCAGAGAGAACTAAAGACGGCTCCCAGAGAGGGGTTCTAAAAGTTTTTCTACTAGCACAATTTGATAGGGCTACATGTGGAGAGGTGCAGGTGTTTGTTCGGAGACTTTTTTGGGACGACAGATGCTGAAAAGTACATTCAGCTGACTGCTGCTGGTTCCCTTTCCAGCCACCTGCGAGGCAATTGCATGAAATGGTTGCTAAGAGATGATTTACCGAATATGCAAGAATAGATGTATGACGATTACAAATAGACAGGTGTTGTAGAAGACGTAAGGTTATAATTGTTTTACATAGAGAACATTCCAATATTTGTGAAGAATGTTCTCTATAAGAGCAATTTATTGAAAGAAGTTGTAGAATCCCTTTCCATCCACATGCGAGGCAACTGCATGAGATAGTGGCTAAGAGGCAATTAGGAGAAGATGAGAAGATAGATTTAAGATAGTTGCAGGTGAAAAAGAAACACACACCAATACAGAAAACTAGGAATAAGGTCACCGGAAGCAGTATTTCAAATGTTTTACATAGAGAGCATTCCAATGTTCGTGAAGAATGTTCGTCATATTATCCATATATAAGTTCTTACGAACTACCCTTGTTTAGCTGACGTGAGGTTGGTATAGATCTTCTTCTTCTTCTTCTCATTGTTGTTGTTCGCTGGCTGGAGTTTAGCCGACTTCGCGATCCTCATATTCTGGACTTACTATATATAACAGTAGTAACTAATAGAACCACTAATCTCCCTCATGTGAGGGATCTCGAGCCGGTTAGTCACGAGACTACGTGGCGCATCCCAAGGTGGCGGATAAGGGGTTAATCGCGGACCAAAAGCGACCTTTGCTTCTCTGACACGCAGGTGGATCCAGAGGATGGACTCTCTGTTTCTGCTGCGCCGATTTGGCGCATACTTTTTGTATTTGCAAGGCATATTCATGCATGCGTGTGTCAGTGCGTTCTCGGTTATGCGGATTGTATTCTACGAGTCAGTTCGACCAAAAGTCTGCAATCAAGTGATAATGAGGTGTATGGGAGGTGGTTAGGAATCGCCACCAACAAATAAGATCCATGTCCACTTTGGGAGAGCCTGGCAAGCTACCCGTGAGTATACCCAGCAAGCCATACGTGGGTATCAAAAATGCTGAACACGGTAGAAAAAAACGAGCCTCATTTCCCTAACCCCGAAAGAGCCCCCAATTTCGCAGCGTTGGGTAGGATGAGTACGGAGAAGCTGCTAAGATCTCAGGACCAGTGGAAGCTGACTGGATTTCAGAGAACTATGGTGACGATCTGTACCTGGAATGCACGTACACTTGCCTCTGAGTCCTCGATAGAAGATTCGATAGGAGACTTGTTCATGCAAGCAACAAGGATAAAGTACGACGTCATCGGTCTGGTCGAGATTAGAGAGGGCGCCATCCATTCAACGCCGTCCATGACACCAGAGAAGAACTGTTCCTTAGATCGTCCGACAGTAGAGCAGTTGGCGTTCTCGTCAACACGTGTTTGTTCATGAGCAACGATACATTCGAACAACTTAGAACCCGAATCGGACGCTTGCGATTAGAAAGATGTGGATCAATACTGGCTTTGACAATCTTCGTCGTATATGCGCCGACATCAAAGTATGACGAAGAAGAAGTCGATGCGATCTATATGGACTTGGAGAAGTTCTACAGAGAAGACCACACATTCTTCAAGATCATCATTGGAGATTTCAACGCTAAGGTTGGACCAGCAAGAACGTCTGAAGAACGTCACATTGGGACCCACGGAGTAGAATAGAACGAACACGGTGAGCGGCTGTCTCACTTTATCACGACGACCAAGACCGTTCACGATAACTTACAATTCCAAAATCCCCGCCCTCAACGCTGGGGGAGAAAGTCTCCCTGTGGAGTACAACGAAACAGACCACATCGTAGTAAATCGAAGATTCTGCCCTACCGATATCGCTGTTGGCCACAAATTCCACACTGGATCAGACCATCTCCTTCCTCGAGCAGGATTTCATTCCTCGCGAAAAGGCAAAAAAGCCGCTAAATTCAAAAAACGAAGTCCCAAAACCACCATAAACTGAGACTTATTCAATTCATTGGTCAGCTGTCGGGAAGATGCCGTTGTCGATAACATCGACGAAGAATACGATCGGCTCATTAAATATCTTCACGTTAGCGCTATGAAAGCTGAGAGTTCGAAAGTCACCAAGAGACGTCTGTCTCCAGAAACAGTCGAGCTGATACGCCAGCATGAATCGCACGAGCTGCAGGCAACCGCGAACTAATGCCCAAACTTGCAAAACAATGCAGATAGGCGATAAAAGAATATCCTAAAGAGAGAAC